TCCAATGACATGAATGTTAGATCTTTTCTTATAGTCTCACAGGTTCCTGAGGTTCTGTCCATTTTTTTCCAGTCTATTTTCTATTATTCAAACTGGATAATTTCCATTGTTTTATTTTCTAGCTCACTGATTATTTCCTCTGTCCCCTACATTACACTGTTGAGCCCATCCACCAAGCTTTTTATTTTGGTTATTATATTTTTCAGTTCTAAAGTTTCCGTTTGGCTCTTCTTTATATCTTCTTATTTTTTATTTCTTTGCTGAGGCTTTATATTTTTTCATTTGTTTCAAGCCTGTTCATAATTACTTGTTGAAACATGTTTTATGATGGCTACTTGAAATTTTTTATTGGATAGTTCTAATATCTCTGTTATTTCAGTGTTGGCATCCTTGATTGTCTTTTAAAATTAATTTTGAGATCTTCTTAGTTCTTGGTATGATGAGTGATTTTCAGTTGAAACCTGTACATTTTTCATATTATATTTTGATTCTCTGGGTCTTATTTAAACCCTCTATTTTAGCTTACTTCCTCTCACACACCCTAGGCAGAGATTGGGAGGTGCTTCATCATTAATGCTAATGCCAGGTGGGGGTAGAAGCCCAGGTTCTTGTTTTTCATTGATACTCAAAGAGGGAAGTGTCCTTGCTATTACTGTGTGTGGGTGAGAGTTCTGGATCCTCACTAAAATGATACCTCCCTGGCTAGGAGAGGTAGGAATGTTTCATTATGCTTCCCCACTTGACCTCCACTGACATCACATGGGTAGAGGTGGCCTCATTACTGCAGAGCACAGAGCAGTGGTAAACGTCCTATAGAACTATTAGGGACTAAACTCCAGGATCCCATCTTTGATCTAAACTCAGCCTGTCTTCCGAATTATTACATGAAAATGTCTCTAACTAGAATAGCTGGTCTTCCACTAGAAACTGAGGTGTATAGCACTTTATAATAGTAAGACCCACCCTCTAATCCTGGCCTTTGCTGATCTTACAGGTACTGGGATCACAAAACAGTATAGTGTGATTAAGCATTCAGTTCTTCCTTTGCCTAAAACCTTCTGTGCCTAAATTGCCACTTGTTGCCCATCTCCAGACTCCCTAGTACTATGCCAGGTCAAATCCTGACACTGTCTTTCTGGTCATCTTTTAGTCTGTTTCACTATTCCTCAAATGCCAACTTCTCTTTCTGGTTGAAATGCTTTCTAACACTGATGAGACATGTGTGGCATCTGTCCCTGGTCCTCCTTAGCCTACAACACTGAGAATCCACCCCTGCCTAGAGCATGGTGACCTAAATGATTCCAGTTGCCCAATAGACTTCTGGATGTTTCAAGGGTGACTTCAAGCCAAGCAGAACTTCTTAGCCCACCCCTACCATGCTCTTCCTCTTCTCTCCATAGCCTAGCTAGTAGCATTACCATCTCTCTGCAGACATGCCAAACCAGAAGCCCTGGGGGCATCTTTGACTACTCCCCCTTCCCTCACCCCACACATCCAGTTGAGGGCAATTGCACTCTTGACTCAGTTCCCATTCTTCCCCCTGTCTTCAAATATCCATCTCCAGGCTTTTCTGTAACCTGTGTCTGAGGAGCATAGAGTTTTTGACATCCTTTGAGGCTGGAGGTACTTGCGCCCCTGAATCCCAAACTTGGGTTTCCTGTTGAGGTTCTGAAATAGGCACAAACTCAACATTTCCACTATAACTTCATTCTCTGGGTAGTATAACATCCATAATAGTTAAGAGTATGGGCTTGTAGGGCATGGCTGCCCAGGTATGAACTCTGGCTCTGCTACTTGCTAGCTTTGTGACCTTGGGCAAGATACTTAACCTCTCCATGCCTCAGTTTCTTCATCTGTGAAATGGGGATACTGATAATACCTAACTCAAAGGGATTTAGTTGGAATTAAATGAGTTAATACAATTATATTGTTTAAAACTTGTCTGGCAAATAGTAAGTGCTCAATAAATGTGATTATTATTATTATTGCCATTATTAATATCTACATTACCTTAGTAGCTCTGAAGGCACTGCTATTCCATACTAAAGATATACTATAAGGCTATTGTATAGTGTTGCAGTTTTAGTGGGCAGGGATAGTTAGTAAAAAGGCAAGTTAAGTCACACATACTTCATAATGCCCAGAAAGGTCAATATATTACTGCATAGTATAAATGTCCATAATGGTGACCCCTGTTTCCTCTTTAGTAGTACAAGATTTCCATCAAAAGTAATTAATGAAAGTTTAATTATTTAACCACTAAAACTTAACTGAAAATATAATATATCTTATTTTCTGGGCTAGGTAAATGAGGCTTAATTGTATCAATGAGCTACCAGAAGAATCATCTCAAGAAGGAGGTCATCAGATTGTTGTCATTGGCAAAGATCACTCTCAATCAGGAAATTAGGAAATTGTTTTTTCTATTGAGGGCCAATAACTGCAGAAACTAGAACATTTGTAACAACTTTTCTTTTTTTTTCTTTTCTTAAATGTGCCACATTCAATTCACCTGTTTTTTTATTAAGAACTGAATTTGTGTAAACAATAAAATTCAGAGGCCGGGCATGGTGGCTCACGCCTGTAATCCTAGCTCTCTGGGAGGCCGAGGCGGGCGGATTGTTTGAGCTCAGGAGTTCGGAACCAGCCTGAGCAAGAGCGAGACCCCGTCTCTACTAAAATTAGAAAGAAATTAATTGGACAACTAAAAGTATATAGAAAAAATTAGCCAGACCTGGTGGCGCATGCCTGTAGTCCCAGCTACTCTGGAGGCTGAGGCAGGAGGATCGCTTGAGCCCAGGAGTTTGAGGTTGCTGTGAGCTAGGATGACGCCACGGCACTCTAGCCTGGGCAACACAGTGAGACTCTGTATCAAAAAAAAAAAAAAATTAAAAAAAAATAAAATAAAATTCAGCTCCATATTAAGACCAGTTATGATGAGGAGGAAGAAAGGGAGAGGTGTGAGAATAGAGAATAGAAGCAGGATAATTTGATGTGTATCAGTCACTGTGTATCTGATGCTTCACAGCATACATTGGTTTGTTTTTCATTTTATACAGTATTTTCAGGCATACATAATTTAGTTCCTCCAAATAGTCCTGTGGCAAGGCAATTATTATTTAACCCATTTTATAGATGAAATGGAGGCTCAAAAAGGTAATTTCTCCAAACTTACTCAGCTAAGGATGCGGCTGAGCTTGGACTCAAACCCAGGTTCTTCCTTCTCTTTGAAGAGGGAAATGGAGAGAAAGGAATTAGAAGAGAAAATATCAATAGCGTGGGAGGTGTTGGAAGCATCATTTTACTCTCATTCTTCAATCTCCTCTCAAATATTGATCAGCTAATTGTTCATGAGATCTTTACTGTACCATCCTAGAGACTCCATATGAATAGATGTCTAATGCCATGGAAATCATTTTTTGAGCTACAGAGGTTGTGACTAAAGCAGTGTCACCCTAAGAGCTCGCTACCCTTAATCTAGACTGTGGAAGATTTTCATTCTTCTCCTGACCCCCATTTTTAAAAATCTGGCAAGAAATAATTAGACTAAACCAGCTCCTGGATGGGATCATTGCTCTTGGCATTGTTAGAAATACAGAGTATTATTGACTCGGATTATCTAATTCATTTATATCTAAAAGTCTCCAGTATTTATATTTGTCAGTTACTTTTTGAAATCTGCCCAATTCCCAACAGACTCCACGGTAAAGGCACGGTATAACAGGCTATGTCCATGGTGTCTCATTCCTTTTTGTCAAAATATGAGTGGTCTTTAAAGGACCTACTTGCTGCAATGAGCCAGAAATCTCTTGAGATCTTTAACAAAAGACTTAAATTTTATGACTTTGTAAATTCATTTAAATTCATTTTAGCAGGAGTGAATAATTTATTATAGCAGTAAAAGGAAGGAAATATGTAGTCACTTTTCTTAACTCAAGTAATTTAGAATTTCAAAGGATAGCCCTATTTGTAGAGAAATTATACATGTTTGGCATAGGGATAGTTTTGTCTCTGAAAGTAAAGCATTTTTAAAATAAGAACTAATAAAACCTGACAAAACAAAATAGAGGATAAATTTATAGTATCTTTGGTATAGTATCTTTACAATACCTATGGCAGGTTCATGTTGATGTCTGGGGATACTGATTTTTAATTACTTGAAAAGAAATAATGAGATGTGTAGGAAATGTTCATGCAGTATATATACTGTATTTAGATTATTAAAATAATTAAATTTTAAATGTGAAAAGATAAGGAATGTCTGCTTATTTGAGGTAAATATTTTCAGTTATATTACTGCACATAGTATTCAAGAAACATGTTTAGTTGTACAGAATTTTAAACTTTGATCTAACATCTCTACTTGCTTTTACTATCACCCAATTGTTAACTGGTATTTGAGTGATCCAAAGTTTGTCTCAAAATGCTTTTCCACAGAAATCAAAGAAATGAAGAGGGGTGGAAATATAGCTAAACAAAGTATGGGCTGTTTAAGGAAAATCCCAAATGTAATTTAGAGCTTGCCCATCATTGCCTAGAGATTAGAGGCTTAGCTTTTGTTCTCATATACTTTGTAAAGTCTCTTACCTTGACCTTTCAGCAAAAAGTATAATAGCCTCTATGTTTAAATGAAAGAAATGTTATTCCATCAACCAGTGGCCATGGATTCCATCTTGAGTGAAAATTACTTCAGTTACCAATATGTAAGAGGTTGGGAAAATATTTCAAGTAGATCAGAATTGATGTTTTAATATTATATTTTATGTAGCATTGCAAACAGAAGAGGAACATGTAACTTGAGAATTTATTTCATTTTCTGGAAAATACTATATATAAGTTTGGTAAATACTACAACCACGAAAGAAGATAGTCAAATAAACTCCAATGAAACGTTTATCTACCATAATGAAAATCTGAGATTTCTAAATATGAGTTACTTGGTTAGATCTTAGAACTCAGGACCAGAATGATATAATATTTTATTTGTGTTTCTATTACAGATGACTTGTTTAAAGTTCACAAGCTTAAGCCAAATCTGAAGTGGCGACAGGCTTTTGACAGCTACTTAAAAACTCTGCCTCCATACTACTTATTAGTATGTATTTGTGTGTATATATATGTATCAATAATTCTAATCACGAGAAACCAATGAATCAAAATCTTTACCCTTGCAATAAGATAGCTATGTTTTTATTTTACAGATATTTGTGTCGTCACTGCCCTCTCAAACCATGTGTAAGAGTTTGGAGATGTCATGGTGGCACAAAAAAGAACTGTTTTCTCTATTTTATTTCCTTTAACTGCCATGGTTATTTTTATAAAACACATCTGTGTTTCTCTTATTAAAAGTAACCTTATGAAATTATAATTTTGGAATTTAAGAATAAATAGGTCTAGATTCATATATTACATCAACTTCCCTTTTTAACTCTAGAACTTCTCAATATGGGTTTTACCGCTGGAAAAAAAATCTGAAGACATCATAGTTGCTTATTGCCTCTTAAGCGCGTGCTAGACACAGCATGAAGTGGGGGCACTGGTGGTGGGCGTGATCCAAAAAGAGTGAAAAAAAAATACTTGGCCTCATTTTGGTTTTTATAATTGGAGGAAAGTATTCATGATGATTTTGAACTGGTAATATAATCTAAATTAAGATTATCAAAACCATTTCAGAGGTTGATGTGGTAAACTTTAAGCCAAGTTTCTAAAGGTGAAAAGGCAGATCTTAAATGGTGCCATTTGTGTCACTGGGAGGAGAAATTGGGGTGTGTTCATATTTACCATGGCAGGAATGGGGTGCACAATAAGATGCAATGTGAAATGATTTTATGATTGGGAAATAAGACTGAACGCAATTTACCTGTTTGAATTTGCTGTTACTTGCTCTTCTTATCCCACTCTCTTCTGATTTTTTTACTTTCTGCTCCTTCTCTGCTATTTTCATTGCCACTTTTTAATGTTCCATGTTTGGTTTTATGTGCAGCGCCTTGACTTCTAAGAAATGAATCATGTCCCTTTGCCCCTTATAACTGAACTTTGAGTATTTTAAGATTTATTCTATTCTTACTGTTGTGTATTTTGTTTCCTTATAGCCATTAAAGAAAGCACTAAGGATGATGGGAGCTCCAAATCTGATATCAGATAATTTAGATTGTGGACTTAGTTACAGTGTTATCTCTTACCTTAAAAAACTCAGCCAACAGGTAGTATTGGTAAAAACAAACAAACAAAAATCCTTTGCCCTCAGAAGTGCATTTCCTTATTCTTTAGTGTAATTGTAATTTTTCAAATTAAATGTGTATATATCTCTACACTTTATGGATTAGTAATAATGTGATTCTCTATGGCTTCTAGCTTCACCATTAAACTGCAGTTAAGGGTCTGTCAGTATCATTCGATGCTGTGCCATTTCTCCTTTTGCCTGCCAGTTTGTCCTCCCCACAAGCTGGTTGATATTTTGTGGCCTAAGAGGGGCAGAGGCTTAATAAAATTCCCTCCCGGGTCACATTTTTTGTCTATCCTCAACCGAGTTTCTCCTCAGATCACGGTGGGCTAGAGCATCCCCCCTTTTTAGGTCAGCACACCGAGGCCTGGTGTGATTAAATGACTTGCCTGAAACCAGTTTTCAGGTGCATGAAGGACTCACACTCACATCCTAGCCCTTGGATAAACAGCTACATGCTTTTCCCTGGAGACTGGGGAGGTGAGACTAGTGTTCCTCAAACTGGAGGGTGATAGGCCCCAAGGGGACCTGAAGAGTGGAGTTGCGCCTCCTCTCTTCTCACCCTCCATCTGTTCCTCATTTACCATTATTCACCTTGTCCCTTGCCTGCCCCTCTCTATTAGTACCTCATCCTCCACTCACCCCTCCTTATCATACTTCTCACCTCTACCTAGACCATTCTTGTAGGATGGAAATGTTTGAGAACTACTGAGTTAGAGCTTTACTGCCATATGAATGTGTTCTTTTATATGACAAATTAATGCCACAGTTTTACTGTCTTATGCACAAGTGTATTCCCAGGTAGGGAACTGTAGTAGCATTTGCAGTGATTATAATGTTCAAGTTGGATATATTTGGAAGTTTGGCCTTTAGAAAATGGAGAGTAGTAAGCAAAGAGTGAGATTTCACTAAAGGACCAAAGGGACTCCGCAACTGGGATGCTGACACACCTTGCCAGGAAATGGCAAAAACTTCGGTACATTCTGGAGCTTACCAGCTCCTACCAGTCATAAATGCAAAAGAAAGTAAAGGCAAACCCAGATTTTTCTCATCTACCAAGTGTCCCTCAACCCCTTTTCCTCTTTGCTCATAGATTTTTTGTTGTTGTTGTAAATGTTTTGGTTTGGTTATTTTTTATTTATCTATTGATCTATTGATTTTTTTTTATTTGATGTTTACCTTAGGCCTTTAAGGCTGTGTCAGCAGGATGTATCCACAAGAAAGAATAGTGAACAGAGTCGAAACTAATGCAAGTTATGGGACCTTCTGGGGAACATTGCTTGTATAGTTTTATAAATGAGCTTTTAAGACCATTTAAGGAAACAGACCCTTTGCTCTTACCTCATATTTCATGGCTTAAAAATATTTTTAGAGATAATAAACATAGATTTAACTCCTATAGTTAGAGAAAATTAATAAATATCTCTGACCAAACCTTAAGAAATCCAAAATGTTGGGGGGCTTGCTGGACATTGGTAGATTCCATCTTTTAAAGAAAAGGAAAAGATCCTTACTAATTTATAATAGCTCTAATCACTAATTTGATTACTAATTTAATAACTATGTCACCAGTGTTTCTTAAACCATCTCAGATGTATGTAAAACACAAAATATGCCAAATATATATTGCCACAATACAGTCAAGCAATATTAACCAATATGGTATAATAGTGTCTGTTAAGAGGATTTTTACAAATCATTTACTTGGTAATGTCTGTTCGATTAAGCATTGCCGTCTAAGACTTTTTTGGGTAGTCTAATATTAGAAATAAACAGTTTAATTTTTTTTCAGATATAATCCCAATCTATGTGATCTGAATTTTAGCATTAGTTTACATGTTTAAATATAGACTCTTAAACCTTTATGTCTGGGTCTGAAATGAATATGTTCACTTAGAGTAGATTTTATGGTAACAAAATATACTTTTAAATGTCTATGAATGAAATTCTTATCCATGGTTTTTATTCTCTCAATGGTTCAATCAATTTTGACACTAGACAAGAGAAAAAATGTATTGAGTTATTTGTCTTTCTAGCCCCCTCTCTCTGTTTGCTGTGGTAGGACAGAGAAACACAGGAAAATGCTTAATTACCCATTTTTCTGTGATTTGCAACTGAAAATTATTCTGTGGGGTTCTTAAAAGTATTATCTTTCTTAAGTAGTAAAAATGACAATGATAATATAGATGTTTTCATAACATGCTATATACTTTCATTTTAGACCAAACTAGAATCAGAACGAATACTAGCATCAGTGGGGAAGAAACCTCCCCAGGAAATTGGAATCAAAGTGAAAAATCATTCTGGAAGTGGTGTGTCCTTGATTCACAATAAAAATTTTAGAAAACTATTGAAAGAAATCACAGGAGAGACTGTACCAAGACCGACAGAATTCAATACCAAAGAATTTGCTGGCTTCCAAGTAGGGCTCTTAAACAAGGTAACTTGTGACAAATAGTTTGCATTTGTTTAAACATATCTGATACATTTATGTCTTTCATATTCCTTTCATTTTGAAATAATAACAATCCTGTTTGGAGTTAGTAGTTATTAATGGACCAGTTTAGCAATGCCCTGCCAGCAGGTACCAATATGGAATGAAATATACAAGATATTCAGGGTAATACCCCTGAATGATAAGGGGAGAGGGAGCTGGAGTAGGCAGGGAGAGCTTTCAGTCCACAAAGATGATCTAGTACCTGGGGGAGGGGTGGGGAGGAGGATGGATGTGGTGTGAAGAGGCTCAGACATTGGTGAAGCTTGGAGAAAGTCTTGACCAACACAACAGGAACCTCTGGCACCGAGATTTTCTATAGAGGAGGGCCATGTTGGGCAGAGCTGGCCAGGCCCTAACACCCCTGCCTCTCAGTCACTGGCCGTGGGCAGCCTGGGAAGAGCATGGCCTCAGCTCGGTGTTGCAGCAGATCCCTGAGGCACTGCAGCAGGAGGCTCTCAGCTATTGCACTGCTTGCGGCATCAGGCATTGCTTTCCTGAAGGGAGATCCCAGCAGCTCACCTCTGTGGTTGCCAGAGGATTATAAGCAGTGGTCCTGCAAGGCTGCCACAGGTATAAATATCCAGATTTGGTGTTGTAAAAAACACACTTGAAAATGGATATTCCCAGTGACTTTAATACTGTGTAGATGTTTTAGAATTTAGAACACAAATGAAAATTTTCCACCAGGGAAATTTTACTGTGGTTATTTGTATTGAATATATAGCTCTCTTCAATAAGATTTTAAGAGGATTAAGTATTACATTTCTGTATTAAAAGTCTTAGGAGTTATTGAAATTATGTTTCATTTCAAATAGGATTTGAAACCTCAGACATATAGAAATGCTTATGATATTCCACGCAGAGGTCTTTTAGACCAGTTGACCAGAATGAGATCCAATTTGCTGAAAACGCACAAGTTTATTGTTGGACAAGATGAAGGTAAATGAACGACGAAGTACTTTTCATTGATTGAGAAAATGCCAGGCATGACTTACACAGAAGTGTTTGTTGCATAATGAATAGGTTATTGTGTAGTACTTTAGTGTTCAGAATGCCTGTTTTCACTGACTCCCTATATCTACCCAGGCACAGTTTATTTTTCTCAAGTTTAAGGGAAAGAGTGCATTAACCAGCATATACACCACACTCGCTGTGCCTTAGCTCTTGTAAGCCTCAAACAGCTCCAGGAGATAGATACTGTTTTTATGCCCACTTTATGAACATGGAAACTAAGAGTGAGCATTTTAGTAATTTGTTCAGGTTTAGCCGTTCAGAAAATGGCAGAACCTAGGTCTGTCAGATTTCCCAACGTGCACACCCAAGCACTATATACTACCCAGCCTACTGTGACGAGTTCAATGAAGGATACCTCATTTACATGAAAGTAACGAATCTGATAGCATCCAGGATAATTGTGACTATTCAATTTCCCTTTACTCCATGTTGTTAATTTTAAATAGGGTCACCTGTCCACTAAAATGAGGAAATTTTAGCCCAGCCAACCTCCTGAAATTATACACCAAGTTTTGTGTATATGGGGGCTTTTCTAGGAAGAGAACCTACAGATTTCATTAAATTCTCGAGTGTTAAGACCCACTAACCAATGTACTCTGGATGCTAAGAGAACACCACAGAGCCTAAGCTCTTCAAAACATAGACAATATGTGGTGTTTTGAGTTGGGATGGCAGTATATGGGAGGTCATACCATTCTCAAATCTGGTTTGAAGGTAAGGGAGTTGTGGTTCTAGTGATGTGAGCCTGTAGGCAGTAGTAATGGTAGACTAAGTAATGATTGGGAGGAAGAGAGATGATTCTAGATCCCAGAATGCTAGATTCGAGATTTTGGACTCTATTTGATACCAAGGTACACATTACTAAGCCAAACTATGATCATGTCATCTCAAAAGGATCATACACTTCAGCTATATAGCATTAATTTCTTTTCTGGTGATTTTGCAGATTCCCTTCATAGTGTTCCAGTTGCACAAATGGGTAACTATCAGGAATATCTGAAGACGTTGCCTTCTCCACTACGAGAAATCGATCCAGATCAACCAAAAAGACTGCATACTTTTGGCAATCCATTTAAACAAGATAAGAAGGTAGTATACCTATTTCTATGTCTGCCTAAATTGTGATATTCTTGCTATAATTTTTTTCTTTCTGGCAAGATGAATACAAATCAGAGGCTCTTCTTTTGTTTTCTTAAAAGATAACATATGGCACCCAAGCTCTTTGTGGATGAAAAGTTGGAGCCTCCTGATGCCAGAGTGTGTCGGTTGAATAAAATTATAGCTATCGTTTATCGAGTATCTAGTAGTAGCTGGTGTAGTAAATGATCTCATTTAATGTTCACAACCTTTCTGCAAGGTGAATGTTACTGTCTTCCCTTTAATAAGAAGAAATCAAGGCTCACAGTAGTCAAATGCCTTACTCTGTGACATCACTGATAAGAGCCAGGATTTGAACCCACCTCTTTCTGGCTCCAGAGTCTATATTCATTCCCACCACCACATACTAATTTTTTTAATATTGAGATCTCCATTTATTTCCTCTATTTCCATGATTTGGATCTCAGTACTCAATAATCTAGTGCTCAATCTAGACAATGATGAGTGTTTCCTTTGAAATATGCAGTATACGTGATGTTGCTTTATTTGAATTGTCCTACTAAAGATCTAAATGTGGGGCCTGAGCCAGGCATGGTGGCGCACACCGGTAGTCCCAGCTACTTGGGAGACTGAGGCAGGAGGATCACTAGAGCCCAGGAGTTTGGGACCAGCCTGGGCAACATAGCAAGACCCCATCTCTATAAACAAATAAATAAATGTGGGGCATGTGTTTGTGTGTGTGTGTGTGTCTGTGTTTGAATGGGTGAGATATACTGAATTGACTATTTAAGCATGAAAACAGATGAGACTATTATCTGCACTCAGAGAGGAGACTGTTGGTATAAAGGCTCAGAACATACAAATAATCTCTTCTGTGGCCAAACTAGACCCAAGGTATTCCACCTCACCCCAATCCTCAATTAATTGGAGGTTTTCTTTATCTTTCTATGCCTTGGTTTCCACATTTGTAGTACTAGGGATAATAATTACACCTAACTGATAGAACTCTGCATGACATTGCATGAGTTAGTATATGTATACTGTTTAGAATATTGCCAGACATGTAGTAAATGCTCATTGAAAATGTTTTCTCCTATCTGTACTGCATATGGGTAAAAAAATCCTTTGGAAATGTTATTTATCATGATTTTTGTCAAATAATGTGGGCATATGTTCTTGGGTGATGCTTGGATGAGAACAGCTTTTAGCTAACCTTCTGTACAGCTGGCTCTCATCTTCTGTCTACTCCCAGGAGTGAAAAGCCTCCTCACTCCCTGCCCAGCACCAAGGTAAACATATTTGAATCCCTGTGAGGTTGCGGTTGGGAGAATTACATTTTCCATCTACCTGCCTTTCACAATCGACATGCAGCGTCCTGTACAGTGATAAGCAGTGTTTCTTAATGATGAATTTAAAGCACAAAGGCACCAAAAAAGGAAATTATTTCCCCTACCAAGGGTTGATGCAAAATAGTTTGTACTTCTTCAAAAAGGTAACTAACTGTGGGTTTACCCCATTCTGGTTGATTAGAGCTGCTCATTCCTAAGCTTTCTGATCAATCAATATCATAGTATGTCTGGCCTTGGACAACACCTTGTATGTTAGTTTCCTCCTTGTTCCACTTAGACTGGATTAAAATTGAGTTGCATTTTTTGAGAATAGAGTTGGTATGGGGTGTGGTCAGTCTTTGGCCCATGACTAAGGCTTACATTAGTGATGTAATGCATGATTGATTATGCATGCATATTAAGAGTGCTTGGAGTTTTGTAACAGTTGAATTTTTGTCTTTCATGGAGTGTGTTCATTGATGTTTTTTAGGGAATGATGATTGATGAAGCAGATGAGTTTGTAGCAGGGCCACAAAACAAAGTGAAACGTCCTGGAGAACCCAACAGTCCTATGTCATCTAAGAGAAGGCGGAGTATGTCCCTGCTGTTGAGGAAACCACAAACACCACCTACTGTAACTAACCATGCGGGCGGAAAGGGACCACCCTCAGCCTCGTGGTTCCCATCTTATCCAAACCTCATAAAACCCACCCTTGTACATACAGGTATAGAGTAGTGGTTGTGATTTCCTTATGGCTCCTAAAGGACTAAGACACTAAACACTTTCGTTTTCCTTTCTATTCCTTTCTGTTGCGTTCCATTTTTGTTCATTAAGTAAACCATTGCTAAATCATCTATGTGGTAGGTACAATAGGCCCCATGTGGGGCAGTGACCCTGTTTCAGGGATCTCAGTCTATATGAGGAGGGAAAGATCCATAATTACATAGTAATTAACACATGGTCATTAACAGTAATTAACAGTAATTAATACAGTACTTAGGAAGTAAATAACACAGTAATTAATGAAGAAATGGAGAGATGTGGGTGTGTGTGCTCCAACCATTTGGTGTGGCTGCAAGAGCGAGGAGGATAGAGCAGGTTTCTGAGGCAGTAGGGAGGCTGTGCGCCTTCTCCCTCTGCTCTCACCTCCTGTTCCTGCTCTAACCCGGCGCGGCCTGGTGTCTGCCTCCTCCACCCCACTGAAAGTTCTCACCAAGGTTCCCACTGCCTGCTGTGCGCCATTCCTGCTCAGCAGCATTTGACGCAGTTGTTCACCGTGGAAACCTTCCTGGGTTCCCAGACGCCACAGCTCCTAGGGCTTTGTTTTCCCTTTACAAACAACTCCTTTCCATCCTCTTTCTGGCTTCTCCCTTTCTTTCCCACCTCTACATACTGTAGGGACCTAACGCTCAATTCTGGGACCCTTCTCTTCACTGCACCCTCTCCCTAGGTGATCCCATGCAGTCTTGGGGCTTTAAGTTTGATTTATATTTCAACCACTCCAATATCGATTTATGCCTCTAGACTACAACTTGCTCCTCAACTCCAGACTCGCATTTAACCACGGACATGGCATCTCCACTTAGGTGTCTAGTAGGCGCATCACGCTCAGTAGGTTTCATGTGTGTCAACTGAACTCCTGACCTTGCCCCTCTCCACAACAGCTGCACTCACTGCGCTTAATGACACCATCCAGCAATGTGCTACTAAAGCTATAACACTCCTGAGGGCTTGGGAGAGTAGAGAAGCTCTGGGCTGTCACATTTGCAGATTTCCCTAATGTAAATAATGCTATATTACCAAAGGCAAACTATCAACCTGAGGTCACTGACCCAGAGTCAGGAAGAATGGGGCATGATTCACCCTCACGAGAAGTAGTGCACTGGCTCCTGCACCCCCCTGGCACTGTTATTTACCCAGTCGTTCAGGTGACAAACCTTAGAGTAATCATGATTTTTTGTTATTCTTTTCTCACTTTGATGCATTTAGCAAGTCCAGGAAACTGGACATTCAATATAATCCCTAAATCTCACCATCTCTCTCTATCCCTGTATTCCACTCTGCCATGATCTCTCACCGAGCTATTACAATAGATTCTTATCAGTCTGATTCTCACCCTTCTCTCCCTCGTCTAACCCATACTCTAATCCTGCAGCCAGAGTGATCGTGTCAGCACATGAGTCACATCATGCCATGTCCCTCCCAAAAACCCGTCCTCAACTTTCCTGAGCACTCAGCACAGACCCTGAGCACCCGACTCTAGACTGCAAGGCTCTGCACAGCCTGGCCTCTCGCCATGCGTTCCTAACACACATCCCCATGGGGCTCCTCCTGGCTCCCTCTGCCTCTGTCCTTCACTCTGTGGCTCCTGGCCTGTCCCCACTGCAACCCCTGCCCCTGCCCTCCCCACAGGCCTGAGTGCTCCCTCCGCCTCTGCACAGGCTGGCTCTCCCTCCTCCTCCAGGCCCTGCCCAAGGACACCGCCTCAGAAGGTCCTGCTCAGCCATGCGTTGCCCCTGGGCTCCCTCTGCTGCTCTCCCAGGGGCCTGCAGGCTCCTTCCCTAAGCCCAGCCCAGCTCTGCTGCTTTCCTTTGCTCATTGTGCACTTGTTGCCTGACTTCGCCATGAGGGCGTGAGCCCCACGAGGGCGGGGAAGTTTCTCTCTGTGCTGCTCACTGCTGATCCCTGGCTCCTGGCTCGGTGCCTGGCACAGAGGATGAATAAATGACATAGAGGTGCCAGACTTGGAGTAAGAAGAAAGTCACTTTTCTAAGACAGAAGGGAAGGATGGGAAGATACACAGGGAATTTTGGTGATGGAGTGGAGATAGTGTTCAGCCCTAATGGCTGCCTCTGTTTTCTCAGAATATTTGAGATAGAGAAGAGGCAGGTCGAGGGGGGCTCACTCAGTCTGGCTTACAGCTCAGTATGGCATGGCATTTTATAGGTAAATTACAGAAATCTTGACATCAACTGAGACTTGCTGCTTTTCAATTTATAAAGCATAACAAGCTAACACTAAACCATGAGTACCAGGGATCTATGAATGTGTGTTTATTGTACTGTCTTACTTGGTTTCCGTATGTATTCATGGTGTCATGAAGGGAAGAAGGTGGTTTTGTTGTATTATATTTCTTGAGCTGAATTTGAGGGCTCTCAGATCTCCACTGGGTATATCCTCCTGCTTTATGAAATAAATGATTTCCTAGAAGCTGAGAAGCTCAGGGATATACCTGTGGGGTTGACATAATGCACCTACCTCACAGCTCAACTTCTTAATTTGATTTCCAGATGCTACTGTCATTCACGATGTCCATGAGGAGAAGATGGAAAATGGTCAGTCTCCACTTGATGGCTTCCTGTCAAAATCTCCACCGGAGCTTATGAATGTGGCAGGAGATGGTGTTCCAACCAACCAGTTGGATTCTCTCTCTGATGACTTCACTAGTCTCAGCAAAGATGGGCTGATTCACAAACCTGGTAGTAATGCACTTGGAGGAGGAGCCAAAAACTGCAGTCTCTCTGTAGACGAACGAACTATGCCAAATACATTGCAAATAACTCCTGCGATGGCACAAGGAATCAATGCTGATATAAAACATCAATTAATGAAGGAAGTCCGAAAGTTTGGACGAAGTAAGTAGTGAAAGAACATCTACCAATAATGCGACAGGAGGTCCCTCTCGTTCTATGATTCAGAATACATTCAAGCACCTCTTAAGGTGCATTTTAAGGCAGTATTGGGTTTACACATAATTTAAAGCAATTCCTCTTGCTTTAAGTAAAAAGATACAATATACCCTTTTACACTATACACTTTTCTTTTTTTTCCCCTTATAATAGTTTCCTTTTGCTACTGTAACAAGTTATCATAAAATTTGTAGCTTAAAACAACACAAATTTATTATCTTACAGTTCTGGAAGTCACAGTTCTGAAATTACTTTCACTAGGCTAAAATGAAGGTGTTGGCAGGCCAGCGTTCCTTCTGTAAGCTCTAGGGAGAATCTCTCTCCTTGCCTTTTCCAGCTTCTAAAGGCCACCTGTATTCCTTGGCCCATGGTCCCTTCCTTCATATTCGAGTCAGCAGCACTAGTACTTTTTCACCTCTCTGACCTACTCCTGTCCTTACATGTTTTATCTCTGACCTTAAGTCTTTTGCTCCATCTTACAAGGATACTTGTGATTACATTGGGTCCATCTGCATAAACCTGGATAATCTCCCCACCTCAAGATCCTTTACTTAATTATATCTGCAAAGTAAAGTCCCTTTTACAATATAAGGTAACATATTCAGAGGTTCCAGGGATTAGGATGTGGACATCTTTGGACAGCCATTATTCAGCCTGCCACACTTGGTTAGTGTTTACGAGAGTTTCCTTAGTAGATGTGTGCAGATATTTTGATTTGCATGTTTAAAATACAAATTACACCTAACTTTCCCCCCATGAAGAATGATTACTGAGGATGTACTACAGTTGAATTTTATTTCCCATTTATATTTATAAAAATACTGAATTTTTTTTTAATATCTTCAGAATATGAAAGAATTTTCATTTTGCTTGAAGAAGTGCAAGGACCTCTGGAGATGAAAAAACAGTTTGTTGAATTTACCATCAAGGAAGCTGCAAGGTGGGCATAAACAGGAACTTATCCATTTTGGGTTTTTTTTATTGTTGTTGTTTGTTTTTTTTTTTTTTTTTTTTTTGCAGTAAAGCCCAATGCAGGAGAGAGAGGAACAGGCTCTGCCTTGCTTTTCTCAAACCCTGGTCCTCACTCATAGTTAAGGCTGTCTCCAAAAGTATTTGGATTAATATTACCTGAATATTATGAATATTCTGAATTCAACTCCTTCATCCTTCTAGGCTTACCATAGTCTGAGGTAGGCTTGGGCCCTCACTTGGCACTACTGATATTTGCTAAACCATATCTTTCCCATGTAGATTGTAAACTTCACTTCGTATCCTGCACGGTGCCTTGCAATCATAAATGCTTTAAGTCTCTTCTGGTTAATAACATTTCTCTTTATTTTCAGGTTTAAAAGACGAGTCTTAATTCAGTACCTTGAGAAGGTACTAGAAAAAATAGATTCCTACCACCTTCTCAACAACATTAATCACATCAACAGCAGATCATCATATTAATGCAAAGACAGATGTGAAAAAATGGCAAGTTCTCTGTGCTATAAGATGGAATGGGATATTGTCGAAGCCTCCTAGAATGTTTGAGTCAAGGGAATTGCCTTCCAGATGCTATCAGAAAGCAGTGGAGCTTTTTTGTTTTATGATTATCTGGCAGTAAAAGCTAAGCTTTTGCCTAAAGAACTTTTTGAAAGTATTAATTTTTTATTTTATTGTTTCTTTTCCCAATTGAGGAAGGTGATTTTATTAATTTAGCAGGCTAAATTCAGTAAACACTGCTGCCCCCCACCCCAGATAATAAGGGTTCACTCATTTGAACTTTGCCATTCCAGGCATTTTCAGAGTGATTAGGGGCTACCTTCAAGTGGAGCACTACCTGGTGCTCTTACTATGTCCTTGAGAAAGAATAGGTGTACAGAATGAAGTAATATTCTTGTGTGTGCCGAACAAACTTTTCAACAATTCCTAGTTGTGCCTTTTAAACCACGCAATATTCAGGATAGTTTGAATCAAAGAGTAAGAAGCTGCTATTCAAGTAACTTATTTCTCTGTGGGAAGGGGCAGGTAGAGTCACCAAACAATCTACCTCCTACTCTTTTTAATTTTGTCTAGAGACATTACAAAGTGCACTTGAGGCTGCCCCAACCTCTGATATTTGTTCTTGCATGTGACGATAGAAAGTCTTCAGGTAGACTTACGCATTCTGTGCTTTGGAAGCACTAAAAAAAAAAAAAAAAAAGTGTATATTTCCTTTAATGTTTATACAAAAGTTTATATGGAGCAGTATTGTTATGTTTGTATTAATTTGCAAAAATATAAGTGTACAAAGAGATTTTGACTTTGCATATATAAAATAAATCATTTTATTGATTTTCACAAGTTCATTAATGCTGGAGAAATTTTTAGTTATATGTTTCTTGTGATTTGTTATTCTTTTCAGAAATAAGCACACACTATTAAACAAATTAAGATATTAACATAAGGATTTAAACTTGAAAACATCACTCTCAGGACCGAGTGATGTTAGTGAAAATGGCAGAGTAGGGTATTCTGGGAGCCAGTCTCTTTCAGAAAACACTGGAAAAAAAACCCTGTCAGAATCAAATTTATTGGAACTCTAGAATATAGTTGAAGGTTTACAGGAACTAAGTGAATGCTGGATCAGGAGAAAAGTCACTGAAACATGATGGAGTTTTGTGGCATTTCAACCTATCCTTGCCCCATTCCCCTCCCTGGCATGACAGTGGTTTTGAAGATGGCAGCCTACATTCCAAGTATGGGTTCCCGTTTCTGGAGGGATAAAAGAGGACCTTATTCCCAAGGAATTGCCTTTGTCTGACCCTCTCTGGGAGTCTCCCTGGACTGACACAAGGGGATTGATTGCCTTTGTGTTACCTAACTCCAAACTCTCTCAGGGTGCAGAAGCAGCTATGTGGAAGATATTTCTCAAAAACATTTAAAGGCAAATGAATAAGCTGCTGCTGCTTGGGGCAAAAAATAGACATACCAAAAGGCTGGGAGGCAAAGCTGGGGAGTAAGATACTTTGGAGAATAAGGGTTACAACATTCTCCCATATATACCTGGATATCTGGAAAACCATGTGCGCACCCAGGGCAAGACTCCTACCCAGAAAAGACCTGAAAAGACCATAAGATTTCACCTCTGGCTAATCTTTAGACTCAGCACAAGCAGGAAGTGAAGGCTAAGGCAGACTTGTAAACAGCATGGTTAAGTATTGAAGGAGTGTCTTAACAGAGCCAATCTACTAAGACTTCGAAAGTATTTTCTTTTATTTTTTGCTCCAGGCATTTGAGTAAATTTCTGTTGAACCACTAGTTGACCACTAAGCTAAGGGAACAGAAACTTTAGGAACCATACACAACAAAAAATACAGTCTTTACAAAAGTGCTTCATACGAGTTACTTAACAAAAAACAACCAAAGCCACATGACAACAATAAATCGTGGGGATGGGTCAGAATTTCCAGAGTCACCATTATCATAATATTCAAAATTTCCAGTTTTCATTAAAAAAAGGAGGCATACAAAGGAATAAGAAAGGATGGATCAATGATAGGGGGAGAAGAAAAATTAACAGAAAGCATCCCTCAGAAGGCATTGGAATTGGACTTAGTAGACAAAAACACTTTTTTTAATTTCCAAACATTTAGGGGGTACAAATGTATTTTGTTATATGGATGAATTGTGTCATGCTGAAGTCCGGGCTTTTACTGTACCTGTCACCAGAATAGTGTACATTGTACCCAATAGGTAGATTTTTATCTTTCACACCCTCCTATCCTCTCTTTCTTAATTTTCATTGTCCATTACATCAGTTTGCGACCATATATAACCCTCGTTTGGCTCCCACTTACAAGTGAGAACATGTGGTATTTTTCCATTCCTGAGATACTTTACTTAAGACAATGCATTGTCTCCAGTTCTATCCAAGTTGCTGCAAAAGACATTATTTCATTCCTTTTTATGGCTGAGTAGTACTCCATGGTATATATACACACCACACTTTCTTTATCCACTCATCAGTAGATGGGCACTTAGGTTAATTCCATATCTTTGCAATTGTGAATTGTGCTGCTATAAACATTCAGGTGCAGGTGTCTTTTTTATAAAATCACTTCTTTTCTTTTGGGTGGATACCCAGTACTGGGATTGCTGGATCAAATGGTAGGTCCCTTTTTAGTTCTTTGTGGAATCTCCATACTGTTTTCCATAGAGGTTGTACTACTTTACACTCCTGTCAACAGTGTATAAGCGTTTCATTTTCACTGCATCCATGCCACCATCTATTGTTTTTTTGACTTTTTAATAGTGGCCATTCTAATAGGGATAAGGTGGTATATACAAATAACCAATAGGCACAGGAAAAGATGCTTAACATCATTGTTCATTAGGGATACACAAATCAAAATCATAATGAGATAGCAATTCACACCTACTAGAATGGCCATAATTTTTAAAAATGGAAAATAACAAGTGTTGATGACAATATAGAGAAATTGGAAACCTCACACACTGCTGTTGAGAAAGCAAAATGGAGAAGCCACTGTGGAAAACATTTCTTCAAAAAATTAAACATTGGATTACCATATGACCCAGAAATTCTATTCTTATGTATGTACCCCAAAGAATTGAAGAAGAGGTGGTCAAAAACGTGTACACAATTGTTCATAGCAGCACTATTCACAATGGAAAAAAGGTAAAAACTGTCCGAGTGTCCATCAATAGGTGAGTAAATAAACAGAAAGTCATATATACATATAATGGAGTAGTACTCAGCCATAAAAGGGAATGAAGTACTGATACATGCTATAACATGGGGAACATTGAAAACATTATGCTAAGTGAAAGAAGACAGAAAACAGGGCACATATTATGATTCCATTTTTATGAAATATCAAGAATTGGCAAATCTACAGAGACAAAGTGTGTTACTGGTTGCAAGGGGCTAGGGAGAAGGGGAAATGGGGAGTGAGTATAGTGGGTACAGAGTTTCCTTTTGCGGTAGTGAAAAAGTTCTGGAACTAAATAGTTGTATGATGGCTGCACAACATTGTGAATGTACTTTAATGCCATTGAATTGTACACTTTAAAATTGTTAAAATGATAAGTTGTAGGTTGTGTGTATTTTATAACAACAACAACAACAACAAAACTCCCCAGAGCAGCCCAGCTGCCATCTGAATACCATCGAGTGATGGTAGTTGATGCCATGTGGAGCAGAATGATTGTCCATCCCAGCCCCACTCAAATTCCTGACATAGAAGATCATGAAATGTAATGATGATTTTTAAAGTAATCAGTTACCATCAGTAATGGTATTTGTTTATGCTTGATTCAAAAATGTTGAACTGAATAACAAGGAAATTATAAAAGATTGAATTTCAAAAAGTGCCTGTCTATATAGAGATATATTATTACATTGATATCAGCACAGGGGAAAACATGCAAAATTTAGAATCAGGTGGATAATAAGGCTAATAAAGGCTTAGTGATCTTCTTGCCTATATCAATCAGAGTTCAACAAAAGAAGCAGAATAAGTAAGGGATATATATCTTTGTTGATGCTATTCCTGCTGTTACAGAAAATTGGCCTTATATAATTGTGAAATGCAGTTAAGAAAGAAGTCTCTATAAGGCTGCAGTCACCTCCACTGAGGTAGGGGAGAAAATGGGCTAAAACCCACAAACATGATCTGGAACCCCATAAGGACAGATAAATATGTCTCATTCTTGTGACCTCTGACCTTGGTGACAAGAATACATTCAGTAGAATCTAGGACCCTGCCTAATGGAACTAAACACAAACACCTCATCCAAAAGTTATAGAAATTGAAGGAGAATCTAGTGGAAGACAGAGGAATTGCAGGCCTAGCTGCTGCTTCATGCCAAAAAGTGAATCAGCAAATCAGCAATAATGGATGTTGACTGCTGCTTCCCATCCTCCACATTCTCCAAATCTCTGAAGAATCTCCCTGTGGTATACTCCAACTGGAAACATACAGGAAAGGGAATTATCTGTAATGAATTCATTTAGTCAAGTTGACACATTACTAGGGTACTTCTTGTCATCTTGGTACCAATGTACATCTCCTTAAACCAAACCTAACCTCTAAATAAAGACAATTAAAAAGTTTTACTTCTGTCTAACATGAGACAAGTTTCTCTGCTTACAAATGATAACATGTTAACCTTCTTAAAGAGAATACAAAGTCCAATCTTTGTCTTGAGGTCTTGTTCATTCTTCTGCTACCTGATTTACACCCTGCCTTTAATATCCGATATTTTAAATACTTAGAAATAAAGTTAACTCTTGGTAATACATTTTATGTTGCCAGCTAAGGGGATGATAAGGGATCAAAAACAAAAATATTTGGTTAATATATGTGTGAATGAATTCATGTGAAGATAAGGAAATAATATTCCTAATTATTATAGTCCTTGTTTCTCCATACGGTCATGTGGTCACTTCTTCCACTCCTCATTCCATATTCCCTTTGTCCTCAGCAAGCATGGCCCCTGGTGATGGTTCTTTCCCTGCTGAGGTGACACACACCCACATTCCAGAGG